TTACTCAAAAAAATGAGAAATTTCAAATAGTTAATTTGATACTAATATCGATATATTTTTGTCAAATTTTTATGATATCGTCAAACATATATTTTATTCAAAAATAAAAACATCATCGCTTTCTCAAAATCACATAAAGCCATATTATAACATCGACTGAGATAAAGAATAAAATGAAATATTAAAAACACGATGTATCTCGCTGCATTGCGCGAGTACGCTTCTAGTATATATATATATACAACCCCCCCCCCCTCTTTATAAGCCAATATCGACCATTGATTTTGTGTATTTTGAAATTTTTAGGCGGTTACCAAATCAGTTGTAGATAAGGTTGAGAGTACCTGAAGATCCCATATGCAAATCGAAGGAGGGATAAAAATCCCTTTGTAGCCACAGAGGTTCAAATGCAGTGACTCCGGGCTATCTGCAAAGCAGGTGGTCGCCTTGAGATTAGTCGGCTCTTATAACGGGTTGGATATCCAGGTTAATAAAAAAAAGGTTGAGAGTAAATTTCGGAACCGACTTAATCCACATCATTGACATTGATTTGATAATCTATATGGACGGTTGAGATGGATTGTACGGTGTGAAACATTTAGACATTTTTCACATATATATATATATATATATTATATGCTACAAAATCATTAAGATTCTTTAGGCTGTTTTTTTTCCTATACAGACTCATATAATATACTTTGTATATTAATATTGGGTCAGGAAATGAAGGATATGATAATTATTATTTCAAGTTTTGTTTTCTTGTCTTAGAATAATTATAATAATAATCTTAGAGGTAATAGTTTTTCCACGTTTTTACATATTTTAGCAGTTTATTACGTTTTGTTTGAGCAAAAGAATTTAAAAGATACATACATATACTCTAATAATATTATATTTCATAATTTCAATATGACAACATAACGAAAATGATTAGTTTGGGATAAACAAACGATTTAGATGAAGAAAATTTAAAATGAAGTAGAGAATATATTTTTTTATCTCAATCATTACTAGTTATATTTAATTACGACAACTTTTTTATTTTGAAGATTACACTTATAATTATATTATTGAAATATTTCATATATTTATCAAAAAATCGTTTCTCTATTCTGAACATGTAATTTCAAAGTTTCTTTAATATTGGAAATATAATAAAAAACAATATTTATTTCTCAGGGTTTTTGAGGGAGTTATCTGAAGTTGGAGAATTTCACTCTCTTTCATATTTTATCCATTTTAGAGAATTCATTAAAACAAAACACTTGTAATTCAAAATCTTTGAAATCTTCATTTTAAAGAATCAACCTTCTAAATAATATTAAGCCTAGCTATTTAGGAGCTATAGAGAGCCATGTCATGGTTTCAAGACATTTATGTTGACAAATACTTATATCACATCTATAACTTGAAAAAATGATACCTCTAATCTAAGACCATATGTTGGTTATATACTAAAACTAGAACATTAAAAAGGTAAAAGAAAATAAAAAAAATATACCAAATAATGTATTATAAGAATCACACAATCAAGTCATGACGTGCTTAGACGGCTAACGTGACGAGTTTTACGTCACGACGGCTCCCATAAAGTGTCTTTTAAAATGGTACTAGATTTGATTTAAATTAAAAATAAAACATAACAGATATATAATTATAGAATGTATATATAGTATACCTATCTATTATTAAATACGAATCTTAAATATAACGTGTTGTAATAATTTCGCCAGCTACTCCCCCGATGAAAACAACTACCAGCATTTTGTCTTCTCTTGTGATGGCAACTGACATTATTTCCTTAAATTATTCAAATGAAAAATAATGACTTTTGTTTATGATGTTATTTAGAATAAAAAAATAATTCTTAATACTACGTTCTCCAAAAAGAACCGTTGCTAAACGATGGAAGAAGAAAATAAGGAAGACAAACTAACAGTCAATAAGTAACGGGAGGCTTTTTTATGGTTAACTTTTGGATTTAAACGATCGATTATTGTCTCATATATATATATGAAGCGTGTAAATTGTTTGGAATTATTATAATTAATAATTAAGTTCTTAGTTAATAAATTAGTTATATTATATATGACAAATCAACCAATAATATAAAATTAGGGGTGTTCACGGTCTGGTTTGGACGGTTTAACCCCTCAGATCACAAACCAAACCGTAATGGCGGTTTATAAAATTTTCAAACCAAGCGGTTTGACATCAAGTGCTCAAATCGGTCAAACCAGACCATGAAAAGGCGGTCTGGTCTGACCGGTTTAGGCGGTTTCAACCTTTAATGGACTTTAAATATTAAACTTAAAAAACATATATAATTTAAAATTTTAGATTAAATATCCATTTTAACAAAACAAAATATCTAAGCAAATAAATGTAATAATTAAGCAGTTCTTGAGTACAAAGTCGAAGCAATCCAAAATACAAACAAATAAATATATAATACATATTAGAAAACAAACAAATTAACAAAGTTACAACTCCATTGTGATTATTGAGTAACAAAATCTACGATTTCACAACCTTCAATAGTTCAACTATTGAGTCTTGAGTCACTTGATTGATGTCTTGAAGATGTTCGCCGAAATCAAACCATGGATTAGAAAGATCGATAAAGTGATAGAGTTCTTGAGGAACTTCAAAATTTGGAGACCGTCAATATTAAATGTGTTGATATGTTTAATGGTTTTAGGCGTTGATTTTGATTATGTTAGATGTTAGGCTTAGGGATATATTTGGGTCATAGCCCATAAATTAAAAAAGTTGGGCTTGCTAATACTAAAATAGATAAATATATATATGCATTTGGCGGTCCGACGGTTTTTTTGAACACCCCTATATAAAATTACCTAAAAAGAAAACAAATACAGGTGAACATTTTTCTATTTTATGACAATTTCAACAACAATTTGGTTTTAATCTCAAATCAAGTAATTGATTAAGTGATTAATTCTAAAACATATATACATAAATATATGAATTCAGTTTGGGTCTAAATCTGAACTTAATTACGAGGACACTACAATATGCTCACTATATATGCATCATATTTCATAACCTTATGCCACAATCACCGGGGACGGTTTAATCTTTTTCGATGCCCTATTACATCCAGAACTTTTGATGGCATTGCATAAGAGATAACAACGATACATATATGTTAAGTACAAAGGGACGCTAATCCTAAACGATCAACAATTTGAACCTAACCTAAAGCTAAACCATTAATAATTTGAATCTAAATCTAAGCAATTAACAATTTGAACCTAAACAATTTGGGTTATAGTTTTTCACAAATCAATAAAAATGTCCTAAACATATGTAAAATTAGGCCAATTTTTTTAGAGGCCCTGTTCAAAGTCTCATATTTAACATGTTAAGTCACCACGTGACAATCAATAGAGTTGGGAGAATTGAGGTTTAGACCAGAAACGAAACAAATAACTACATGTTTATTATATGCGCAAAGTCATAAAGCCCAGAGCAGAACAATATGGTTTTGACCGATACGCTATAAGAAATAAAAACCACAATAAAGTATACCTTGTTTTGACTAACGTATGCATTATCTTTACAGTTTTCTACTTTAACATCTGCATAAACTAAAGCCCATCAAACTTGACTGTAATTATTTCAACAATGGAGCAACGTGTGTGTATGGTACGTACGTCAGCAGTTTGGAAATAGAGTGGTATTTTGGTGGACGCCAACTTCCATTATAAATTGTGATGTTTCCTCTAATCGAAAGGCAATCCAGCAGCAAAGCATAGAGCTTCTCTCAGAGGTAGGTGTTTAATTGATCTTTGAGATAGAAAGAGTTCATATATACTTACACAAATTAAGCGTATATATACATATTAATCTGTTTCTTTTCTTGCAGGTTCTTTGATTAAAATTAACGATGGGAGCAGGTGGGCGAATGAGTGATGCTAGGAATGAAAAAGACGTCCTCAGACATGTTCCTGTGGAGAAACCTTCATTTGGGATTGGTGATTTGAAGAAGGCAATACCACCACACTGTTTCAAACGATCTCTTACCACCTCTTTCTACTACCTTTTCCGTGATTTGGGTCTCATCTACACTTTCTACTATATTGCAACAAATTACATTACCCTTCTCCCTCAACCCTACTCATTTGTAGCATGGCCACTTTATTGGATCGCCCAAGGTAGTATTCTCATGGGTTTATGGAATATCGTCCATGATTGTGGTCATCACTGCTTTAGTGATTACCAGTGGCTTGATGACACCATTGGCTTCATCTGCCACTCCCTTCTCCTCACTCCATACTTCTCTTTCAAATACAGTCACCGTACTCACCATGCTAACACTAGTTCTCTGGAAAAGGATGAAGTATGGGTCCCAAAACGCAAGCAGGATACATGGTTTTATGAAGTTCTCAGTAACCCAGTGGGCAACCTTATCATGCTCTCATTTAGATTACTTTTTGGCTTTCCCTTGTACTTCATGTTCAATCTTCATGGAAGGATATACAAAGGTTTCCCAAGCCACTTTAACCCACTAGGCCCTATCTTCAACGACCGAGAGCGTGCTCAAATTTGGCTCTCTGATGCTGGTGTTCTTACTGTTGTATATGCACTCTACCGCATTGGGGCAAAAGAAGGTCTCAAATGGGTGTTCTACATCTATGGATATCCCTTGGTAGCTATGAGTGCTTTCTTCATCATGTTCACATATCTACACCACACTCATCCTTCCATCGCTCACTATGATTCATCAGAATGGGATTGGCTGAGAGGTGCTTTATCGACAGTTGATAGGGATTACGGGATATTGAACAATCTCTTCCATGACGTGACAAGTGCTCACGTCGTGCACCATTTATTCTCGAGCATTCCACATTATCATACAGTAGAGGCGACGCAGTATATCAAGCCAATCTTGGGTGACTACTACAACTATGATTATACTCCTATTCTCAAGGCAATCTGGAGAGACACAAAAGAATGCCTCTATATTGAAGAGGATCCAGAGAAAAAAGGTGTATATTGGTTCCGCAAGTAGGTGTCACAATTGTTTCATTAAATATCGAATTGATGATTAATTTCCATGAGCCAAAAGATTTACAATCTACTGCCCTTGTAATTTGTTTTCTTCCTTCTCCAATGAATATTTGCAGGTTTTGTGATGTAAGAATTTTAATGTTTATTTCTTCTGTTAATTATCTGTTTCGTACGTTCTTTTCAATTCAGTGTTTTTTCTATTACGACATAATAATCTTAATGATGATAAAATAAAACCTAAAATATATTACAACCAATCATGAATTCATGATCAATCCTAACTAACCATCTAATCTTTTAATTAACCCAATGACTCTAACCAACCAACAATTCATTTTTAATCCCATTAATTTTAAGGTAATTTCACACATACTAATTATCTTCCATGATTTGCAATCCTTTGATTTTCACCTTCCTTCTTTGACAGTTTGAACCCAAGGTATCTTAATTTTTTCCCAATCCCTAAACACACGTAAGGAAAAACTCCCAACCCCAATACAACACTCGCAATTTTTTTTTTTTTTTTTTGGGGGGGGGGGGGGGGGGGGTTTGGATTCAAGGGATTACAATTGTTGACACTATAATTATAATTCTGAAGGGCTTCACCGAGGGATAGATAAGTCATTGAAAGTTTTTGGGTCAAACTTTCGTGGATAAAGCTGTCTGAGACAGATCACCAACGGTCTCCGTTACCGATAGATCATCGATAGACCTCAATCATTGAGGACAAAGATCACTTACGGATCTAATTACCAAACAAATTTCTGATGGATTTAATCACTAATAGATTACCGACGACTGTATCTATCATCACCAACGGGATTCCATTGGTAATTTAGATTTATTTATAGGTTTTTAAAAAACACCTTAGAGAAATATGAAACCTACTCATACAATTATAAAAAAACACCTTAGAGAAATATGAAACCTACTCATACAATTATAAAAATACCAAATCTGTTCATACAATTATAAAAAAGATATTGTTATTACAATTCAAAAATATCTGTAATCTGGGAAGGGGTCCCGACTGATATTGCTGCACAAAACCAATAAGCTGCTTTGAGTGGATTGTCGTGCCTCTAATTCTGCCCCATTTTTCAGTTGGGCCTCCAGCTTGGCCAGTGCTTATGCTCTTTTCGCTACTGTCTCTAACTTCGCCTGCTTTTCTTGTAACTTGAGTACATGCAATTAACTTGACAAATATCATTAATTTGTTGGCAATCAAAAGTAACATAATTGTTCTACTAATGGTGCTAGGATCATTGGTCATAACATAACGGGGATCCTGAGTGGTCTCGTATTCAAACATGTGTTCTTTCTTCCAGCCTCCAACATCCAACTCGAACAAACTATGGGTCATCAGTGGAATGGTGTTGTGATCTAAGCCGGCATACGTCTCATCCCTAATATGGCAATACCCCTCTTACGGTTTACCAAAAAAAATGGTTTAGCTAATTTATAGACGTTTCGACAGCATAACTGTTGTATATTGAACATATCCGTTACCAATTTTTTGTAATTATAGTTTCTTAACACGAATGGCAACTACAATGCCAACCATTCTATTTAATCAACCTAACATTTCTCCAATAATAACAGCCACACTAATAGCATCAATATATTTATTAAAGTATGCTATGAATTAACTAATCATATAAAATAAACCAATTATTTCAGAAAACCTACCGCCATTCTGGCTGCTTTCGGGTAAATGTAGATTCGGATGATCAATAGTTGGCCCGACGTACACTCTATGAGTCAACGGAATTTCTATTCGTGCAAACTCAAATGTAATATAGGTGTTATGAGTTTTACTATTTGAACCATGTTCTTGTTTGAACCTCCACTTCTCTCTCTCTCTCTCTCTATATATATATATATATATATATTATCGATTATTATGAATATCTAGTTTGAACCTCACTCACTCTCTCTCTCTCTCTCTCTCTCTATATATTGTATTATAAATATTTAGAGTTGCTTCCCTCTTTAGGCTTTTCATTAGCTACTTCCAAGTTGTTTCTGAAGTACCAAGGAATTTAAGTCATATTTTGAACACATATTTTTCTTTGTTCGGCTACAACATATGTAGAAAGGATATGATTATGTCATTCTAATAGAAACCACAATAGCGACCCTAGCTTGATTGAGGCATGCATACTCTATGGAAATAACATAATTTGCTGTAACGAGCTAGGTGATTCTTCCCACACCAGCAATATTTTGCGATCTTGTATCTTGGTCGTCCACTGTGGAACCTAGCTATTCTTCAAATTTGATAGCTCATATGGCCATGTGGAATTTGTATCTTTTAGAAGCTCGTAAGCAGGATAGGTACCTTTGTGCATGGTTTATGGTTAGTAGCCAACCTGATGAAATGATGACGAAAATGGATGTATTTTGTTTGTTTGATTATTATTATAAGTATAAAACAACCGTAAACAAACATGCGGTTGTTAATCTATGCTTCTATTTATTAAATTTATTGAATTATTTTATTATTTTAAATTTGTTATCTTTTTGGGAATTCTTTTGGATTTTTAGAACTCTTACCGGATCTTAAAACACACATGTTACTAATTAGATATTAAAACTATATCTAAAAGAAAGGTTCCTCGATATAAATTTAAACTTGAAAAAGGTGATTTCTATAAACCGTAATAGTTTAATTTGCTTTTAGAATCTCACTTAAACTAAATGTTTGATGATTTATTTTTCTGTTATGATACTCAGTTAAGTTCATAAGAATATGAACTTTCTATATTAATAAATATTTATAGTACATGTTTGACCACATATATAAAAAGGTTTAAGCTTTGAAATTAACAGAAATGCTAGTTTTCCCGTAATATTCCCGACGACTTTACGAAGCCATTCTAACCACACCTTTCATATAATTTGTGCAACTTTCATGAGCTAGACTTTGCCGCATACGTGGAAATTGTTCCAAACATATTAAAAATAAATAATCTTTTTTTCCAGACCAAAAATCTTGAAACAAGAATCAGTAAGTATTTGCATTCAACCAAAAGTTTGGTAGTTAGCCCCACAGGAAAACTAAAGAACGGTGGCCTGATCAGCTATCTGATTTTGACCGAATGTGAATATGAAAATTGATTAACTTATTTGGCATAGAACCAACTAGACTATGATTATGATTGCGATGGCGATGGCGATGGCGATTGCATGTTTCTCATTAATTGATTAATAATTAATTACATATATAAGTCATATATACAAAACCAACTAACTTTCAATTATTGTTAGAACATTACAGAAACAACATTGCCTTTAAAATATGATATATCTATAGGGTTGCTCAAAATTTCAATATCTTAATTATTCCAAAAGTGACTTACAGTCCCAAACAAAAACAATAAACCATAATGCAAGCTGATCCGATATAACAAATGCAGATTTACAAGATCTAAATATTGTATAATATTGTAGTCTAATGAGTCATATCGATCCATAAACTTAAATCGAGACATCGAGATTTGACGTTGTTTCACTATTCGGGTGATAATTTACGACTAGAAAGAGACAAAATTATAAGTATGTAAATAATAAAGTGATAGTGTTCTTTAAATTTATACTCAACATGACAAATTATTTGAATATAGATATATGCAAAATAATTTGGTGTTGGGTTTTGATTTTTTTTTTATCACTGTTGTTTATCGTGGATATTAAGATTTAGGCATTTAGCCCAATATCAAGGCCATCATTATAAATTTATAATGATACACGTTAAAATATCATTATAATTTTACACATGAACCTTTATTTATGGTTGCACACAACTAAATCTATGGTTTTACCATTACAAAGTTGTAAAAAGTACACTTCATGCAACTAGATCTATGGTTATACGGGATACCATAGCCAAGTAGATCCACCCATGCGTAAAATATTGGTTTTGTTACAAAATTAAGCCGTTATTTACGAGAATGCATGGTTAACAAGATTAACTCTTAGTTTGAGTTGGATTATGAAATTTATGAAGACAGAAGAGGCATATATAATCTCCCATCAAGACTAATTAATTCCTCAAAATATATTTGTTGTTCACACTATACAATGTACACACATAATGTCAACATATATACAAGGATTACCTAATATTTAATACATCTAATATACAAATTAGCTGACATATATATATATATATATATATATATATATATCATGTACTGATGATGTGTCTCCATACTCATCAATGATGTTCATATATGCCAATACACCAATAATATATAATCACCATATTATATATGCTTACCATCACATTTTGTATATCATAGTTACAATGCAAGAAAGTTAATTATTTTATGTGATAATTATATTCACTAACAAATATCAAATCTATTATAAAAATAGATATGTACACATGCATGCACACACACATACATGTACACATTTCCATTTTCATGTTAAAAAGAAAACATTTAGATCGTAGGCAAAGGAGTGTATGAGAAGGAAAATTAAGGTGAAAAACGTAAGAAAGATTTGGACATTTGATCACCTTTAATGTTAAATCCATCCATGAATCGTACTTGATACGAGAATTGATCAGGTGCATTTTGGTGCATCTCATCCTAATGTGCATCAAAGGGTGGAAATCCCTTCTCACCTTAACTCTCCTCATCACCGGAACACAACCTCAGATCCTATATATCCATTTAGCTGAAAATGTCATGGGAGTTTTTGATATGTTGTTGAAATGAAAGAAGCTAATGTGAGAATATGTGGAACCTCGGGTCATTCTCCAAAAGAGCTTTTAAGGAGAATGGAAAGGCTCCAATATACAGGAGAAATGGTCAAAGTCTGGCCGATCTGGGTCTCCAACATACCTCCTCCAACGGAGGTTAGATGGACACAAATTGTCCCAGCGTATCGAGAGAGGGTTAGCCAAAATGTCAAGTCCCTAGATGTAACGCCCCAAAACTGGTGAGAGAGCATAACAAGGAAGGAGATAAATCATAGCGGATAGTATTTCAAAGTTTAAAAATAAGAAGATCACCCAACAAAGAGGAGAAGTAAAACGTTTACAGAATAAAAGAAATGAGGCGATAATTAACAACCTATTTAATTTAAACAATTCTATGCCTAAATTAAGAATGGGTGTTCTACCACCTTAACAAA